ATAGAAAGGGAATGGACTGACTATTCTTGTGCGGGAAAGGAGTGTGGGGGATGCGGGAAGAGACTGGACAAAAATCATGCACCTATGGATGGGGACAGTGGGTGGGGAGTGAGGGCGGAGGGTGGGGCGGGAACTGGGAGGAGGGGAGTTATGGGGGGGAAAAAAGAGGAACAAATGTAATAATCTGAACAATAAAGATTTAATTTAAAAAAAATAATGCTCAATATGTTTAAAACATGAACCTATCTTTTCCTCACAACTTGCACTTGTTGAGTTTATTATACATCAACACTCATCCAACAAAATGCATCATCAAGTGCAAAAATTTGGCCATCATTGTTTATTCTTCCTTCCCCCTAAAATTTTCCACTCATTTAATCTATTTTACAACTTCACCATTAATAACTCTGTTTTACAAATGAGATGAGTGAAACTTCGAGAGAATAAATAACTCATTAGCAAATGCTGGAGCAGGAATTCAAATTCAGGTTATATGAGTTCAGAGATTAATATCTTACCAATAAACTTTACTGTTTATTTCATATGACTGGTAACTTGTTCTCCTAATATCAGCAATAGCCTAGCAACAACTACAACATTAACATCTTCAAGAACAACAATAAGTAGCCCTGCCAGAGTGGTTCAGTTCATTGGACGTTGTCCTGTGCTGGGAAAGGTTGCCCGCAACTGATCAATGTCTCTCTCTCCTCTCTCTCACATTGATGTTTCTCTCTCTCTCTCTCTCTCTCTCTCTCTCTCTCTCTCTCTCTCTCTCCCTTTCTCCCTCTCCTTTCTCTCTAAGCATGCCCTCAAGTGAAGATTAAAAAAAGAGTAAGTAATAATAATAAAAACAACTGCCACTTACTGAGTTCTTATTATTTTCAGTCAATGTATTGCATAATTTATATGAATTTTCTCATTTAATTCACACCATAGCCGTATGAGGTAACTGCTAGCTATTGCAATTTTATAGGTGAGGGAATGAGGCTCAGAAAACTTAAATAATTTGCTTGAGGTCACTGGTGATAAATGGTTGCATAAAAGGAAGAATATGAACCAAGACCTGTTTGATTTCAAATCTCTACTTCTAACCACAATGTTCCACTGTCTTGTTTCTGTTTGTTTGTTTTGTTTTGTTAATCCTCACAAAGGATTTTTTCCATTGATTTTTAGAGAGAGTGGAAGGGAGGGGGTGAGAGAGACAAACATGTATTGAAAGAGACACATTGATTGGTTGTCTCCTGCCAGCACCCCAACCAGGAATGGAGCCTGAAACTAAGGTACATGCCCTTGAATCAAACCTGGGACCCTTCAGTCCGCCAACTAACATTCTATCCACTGAGCCAAACTGGCTAGGGCTGCACTGCCTTGTTTTAATGAGAAAGTTCGTGGTGGATAAAGATCTTACAGCAGCAAGATTCACTCTTGCCGCTGTAAGAATTAGACGGATATGAGTGTGAAACTCATTTCAAACAGACAATCTGTATGACTTAAGCAAAGTTATTAAACCTCCATTGTGAAAGTGTCAACAATGCCAGTCTAACAGAGCTGTGATTACAAAGGTTACATATCTTACCCAGCACAGGAGAGGTATTCAGTAAACAAGGAAAACAAGGCTCGGAGAGAAGAGAAATCCCTCATCCAGGATCACACAGAGAGAAAGCTCTGAGAAAGGGACTCCAATCCAGGTCCTCAGACTTTAAATAAAATGTTCTTCCCATTACTACACACTGCCTCAGTAAATAGGGAATTTTATGAAATGACCTCTTAGTTTCTCTATTTATATCTGAATCCAGCCTCAGACTGGATTGAAGAAACGTATATTGCAGAGAAAAAGAATTTTTTACACATATGTATAATATCTGTTGGTATTTTTACCAGACAATTTTGAATAGAGAAGATTAAGATATACCCTCCTCAAAATCATCAATAACCATTGAGATGCATCAAATTGCACTGACTCAGTAATTATACTTCCAGCAATCTAGTCTCAAAGAATGGGAAAAAAAAACTATATACATGAAAATGTTTAGTGTAGTCTTTTAAGACAATTATGCAAAATTAAAAATAATAAAATATCTTACATTATTATTAAACTAGAGGCCTGATGCACGAAGTTCATGCAAGGGGCTTGGGCCTCACAGCTCTGCCTGCCTTGTCAGCCCTCACAGCCCCAGCTGCCTCGGCCAGCCCTCCCACCCCCTGCTTCATCAGGAAGGTCGCCCGGAAGGTCGTCTGGACGGTTGTTCTACTGTTCGGTCTAATTAGCATATTAGCTCTTTATTATATAGGATGATTTGGGAGAATATCTACTCCAAAGGATATTACACATCTATTCTTGGGATGCTATGAAGATTATGCAGTTATAGGAAAGTTACTTCTAGAATGATGTAAAGTGAAATCAGAAGGCTAAAAAATTGTTTCTATGTGACCCCAAACATGTTTTTAAAAACAAGAAACTGAGAAGCATATAAATATCCAGGCTGCTAGAAATGATCAGTGGTGATTTTTTCCTCATATTTTACCTAATATTTTATTCTACATATTTTATCTAATGTTATAAAGTTTATTTTAATAATTAAAAGATACAATGAAGAACTGCAACACTAAATTCTATTGGAAATTTATTATATTAACTATGTTTTATTATAATAGCCACCAGAGAAGTAAAGAGTGAACAGATGAATTAAAAATCCCAGAAAAAGATTCAGCATCTGTATGAATTTTACTCCCTAATTCATCTTCTTGACTGGAAACCCTAGGAAATCTCAGGTCCCGACCAAATTTTGTTCCTGAGCAGTTGCAGGAGGAAACATGATGCCTCTCCGAAAATGAGAAATAAATCCGCTTTTTATTGAAATGCCATCTGGGTCATTTCACTGCTGCGAACACCTGGCGTCCCCTGAGTCAGGCCATCCCCAGAGCAAGGTAGATTATGAGTGAAGTCTAGCAATCTAGTCTCAAAGAATAAAAAAAAACCCCAAAACAACTATATACATGAAAAGGCTTGGTGTAGTCTTTTAAAAACAATTATGAACAATTAAAAATAACATAATATCTTACAGCAGGGAATTATTAAATGTGGTCGGACTCAAATCTTTCTGTCTGAGAACCTACTGCCTTGAAATAAAAAGGGGTTGTGGGACAGGCCCTTAGGAAAGGTTGGTGATCAGGCAAAGAACACAAGATCTTCACTTAGCAACCCTTTGATCCCAGAGGTTGTAACAGAGAGGAGGAGGATTCTGTTACCATATTCTTACCAAGACCGTGTAGACGCTGATTCACGATTTTCACTCCCTGTCTCACTGCACTTTCCAACTTTACCGGGGGCTCTTGGAAGGCTGAGTTTTTCATTATCAGGACGCTGATCTCGTAGGTGCCATTGTTGCATTTCTGAATCACCTCGTTGGTGAGACACATCAGCCCTGGACAGAGGAGCAGTAAACACAGAGTCAAGCCCAACAGTGGTTTCTTCATGACCTCGCTCACCTCAGCACCATACTCCTTGTGCTCAGTTGCTTTACTCTGGGCTCTTAGGGAGACAGGAGCTCCCGCTCGACAGCCTCTAGCTAGGTCCCTCGGTCTGCTCTGCTGCACGTTTCTTTCTGGTCAGACCCCACTGGTCACATGAGCTGTGGAATACAGCCTGCTTGCCAGTAATAAGCAGCTACATTATGGTAGGAGATAAACCAAAGTTCACTTTTTGTGTTTGCTCACAGAAAGGTCAGAGTTATAAACGGAGATTACCTGGGCCTCACCCAATAAAAATACATCAATTTATTATGACACATCATTGGGAAGAGGGAAGTATAGTATGTACATTAAAAGTTTTGTAATGTGGAAAAAAAAAGTCAAAAAGCTTAAAAGCACAAATATGATGGACTATTAGTGTTTAGGTTATAACTGTGCATTGAAACTGAATCCTTAACTAGGAAGAACTGTTTTCAGCCACTCAGTTGGCAACTATTTATTGAGACCTGACTATGTGTTGGGTATTGGCAAAACACTGGGCATACAGATATGAATGATATGGGTGAATTAATGTCCTATGATACATCCATTCTAGGAGGGCAGATAAACATTAAACAAATACTTATGAATAAATTCAACAATGAAAAAAGTGCAAAATGTTATGGGAGCATATGACAGATTAACCTAATCTATTCTAGGAAGTCAAGGAAGCGTTCCTGGGAAAGCATTCCTTAAGTTGAACCCTGCAGGATCCATAGGAATGCAAAAGAGGGCATGTGAGGGAGGAAGACAGCTTGTGCAAAGGCCCAGATATGGGAAGTGGTATGGATGTTTGAAGAAGTGAAAGAGGTACAGAATGGCTGGCATGGAGAGAGGTATGAGTCCAGTGGCAATAAAAGATGCCAGAGGAGTAGTCGGGTAGGCCATGGGGTTTCCTGTAAGCCATTAAGGATTTGGAAGTTAAGGATAAGTATCAAGACAAGGATGTGATCAGATGAAATTTGTAAAGTGGTCTTGAAGAAGTCTTAGGCTGCTAAGGGAGGATTAACTTGGAGAGAGGCAGGAGTGGGGACATGGAGCAAGTCAGGAGGCTGTTTCTATGGTCCAATTCAGAGGTAAAGGAGGTCTGGATGAGGGCAGTGGCAGTGGAGATGGGATCAAGAGACAGCTATAAGGTAAAATGGGTTAGACTTGATATTGTATTAGATTTGGGGCATTCGAGTCAGAGAAGAGTCAATGGTGACCACCCATATGCTCAGCTGTGTAGATGGGAAAACTGTGGACTACATTCTAGAATTCCGCGAAAGGAGCAGCTTTGAGGGAGAAGAGCATGACTTCTGTTTGTGGACATGCTGATTTTAAGGAGGCTGTGCAAGTGTGAGAATAGTCGCCATGGAGTTTTGGGAAGAGGACCTGGATCTAAACAGGGCTTTGGGAATAGAGTCACAAGTGTGATATGACTGATCAAATAATGCCATTGTTTGCATCACTGACTTGATGACCACTTATGGCAAAATTTATGTTCTAAAGTGAGTGGCATCAACAAGATGGAGGGCTAGGAGGTCCCAGCCTTCATCCCTCCACAAAAAGAATAAATTTACCATTACTCACTGATAAAAATAGCTGTGGCAGAGCTTTGGAGTACAATGAAGGAGTTGCAGCAACCAGTGGAACACAAAAACCAAGATGGTCCCTCCAGTTTGAAACACAGTTCGAGGGTGTAGGCGGTGGGATCTCGCCAGGTGTCTGACTAGTCCTTTCTCTACCTTGCTTGTTTGAGCTTCAGCAGAATTGGCTGGCTGTAGGGCTGGGAGGAGCTCAGGTTTCCCGTCAGTAGAGAACTAGTTTCCGGTGGGCACTTTATTCACACCTGAAATCTAGGATAGCCAGCCATGGACGTGTGGGCGTGACTGCTGCTGTGCACAACACAGTAACCTAGAGTACTTCACCATCGAGGTACTTGAATTGGCAGGAAATACATCGAATGATTTTTTTTTAATTGATTTCAGAAAGGAAGGGAGAGGCAGAAAGAAATAGAAACACCAATGAGGAGAGAGAATCATTGATTGGCTGCCTCTTGCACGCCCCCTAGTGGGGACCAAGCCCACAATCCCTGCCTGTGCCCTTGACCAGAATCGAACCTGGTACCTTTCAGTCCGCAGGCGGAGGGTCTATCCACTGAGCCAAACCGACTAGAGAGCAATGTGGAAAGATTTATTATTAGTTATTATTATTTATTTATTTATTATTTATCTATTATCCCTTGTCAATTGCAACTTGTTATTCATGGAGATAAAGGCTGGCTATTCAAGGCTATGATTGCTGGTAGTGATGTCATTCTACACATCCACAAATCTGTAATTGGGAAGAAAGGATAACAGAAGATTATGTAAAGGATGCCTGGATTTCTCTTATGTCAGGACTCTAAATTCTCTAACAACTGTCCAGTGTTGGTGATTCCAGTGGACTGTATCTCTGTGAAAAAAAAAAAAAAAACAACCACAATTTTGCCTTTTTGTAATTCTATTTGAGCAAATTGGAAGTTTAATTAGCTTTCCAACCAATCAAATTTCTGCATTCGACTCTTAAATATGTTTAAACATATTTAAATATTACTGTGGCTTCAAAAAACTATTGATTCTGAAGTAGTGGGTTTTGATTGAGTTGACTGTTTTGTTTGTTTGTTTTTAAACACTGGATTTCACCTAATGCCAGATAGTCAGGTGACTAAAAGGCTTTGGTGTTGCTGAGCACTCAAATGGGTTTGGATATGCAAACCCTCTGAGTTAGGCATAGAGAAACATAAATTGCTTTATATACGTGAAGAAAATTTGAAGTTCCCAGAGTCCATCAGGAAGGAGGGAGTGAGGAGGAGAGGTGGAAAGAGAAACAGGGAAAGTGGTGCCAAGATGGCAAGAGGCTGGGAGCTACGTAGAAAAAATGGCCAGTGACAAAGGCCTGGTGAGATGAGGGCTGAAGACTTTTAAGAACAATACGAGTTTGTATTTTCCCTGAGGAAGGAATGCCTTCATCTGTACAACAGCTATTTATTGAGTGCCCTCTACTTGTTCTCAGCATCTGAGTTATAACATGAATGAACACATTTCTGCCTTCATAATTGTATTCTACTGGGAATTTAAAACTGATGAAACTGGTCAACTCTTCCCAAATATTCAGTCAAGTCCGTGCCATATACAACTTGCCTAATTTGTGGGAAGTATGGAAAGGTGCTCAGTCTGTGTCAGTTTGGGGTGGGGGTGGGGGGTGGGGAAGGAGGTGGGGAGACAGGAACCAGATGGCTAGAAGCAGGAGTTTCAAGACAGAGAGATCGTGGCAACACAAGGCTTCAGGATTTGAAGGAATATTGGGGAGGATTTTTGGACTTTGTATAAGTATGTAATGAGATTCAATGTAATCTTATCTAGAGCACAAAGTAGGGTGACCCTACTAACCCCAAATCGCTGTTGTAGACTAGGGCTGCATATCTAGATCTAGGACGCTTCTGAACTAACAGGTTTGTTTCTTTTCCTTAAGATACCTATTTCCTGGAGTCTTCCCCTTCCTCAAGAGAAACAATATTTAATCCCCGAGCAAAGTCTTCCTCTCCTTCCTTCCCCAGTCCCTTTTGTATAGTATTCCTATGTGCTCAGGAAGAGCTGGGGGAGGTGATAGTCATGCACTTGCCAGAGGTCGCTGGAAATCTCTTAAGTTTCCTAGTGACCCTTGGGTTCGCTCTTCTGTCCAGGTGGCTGTGTTTAGATACGACGGGAAGTATGGGTTGGAGACAGTAATAATGTATCTCAGCTGTAATAAAGTTCCATGTGCTCTGGAAACAGAAGGAAGCAGGCAGGCAATCCATTCCCTGTTGTCAGAGTGGTTAGTGGGGCCGATAGTTCAATCCTGAAAAATGGACTCTGTATTCTTGAGCCAGATATTACTCTTGTGTGTGTATGTGTTGTTGTTGTTCTATTTTCCTCCTGGGAGGGCTGAAGGATTACTTCCTCATACTGTAGTTATCTAGATTAAAACGATAGCCTGGGAAAGAAGGAAAGAGGACAGTGATATCAGTTCCTTGGAGTGCAAACTCCTCCTGAATGGAGTAAATGTCAGTGTTGTTTATTGAAACATCCTTAGCAGGTAGTTGGAAAGGCAGGGCACGCATTAAAGAACCGAGTGGTATACCTTGAGATAAAGAAGAGCTTGAGTTTCCAGAAGGCAGTTTGATATTCTTAAACAAAAAACAAAACACACAAAACTTGGAGTTAGATTTGAATCTCATTTTAGCTGTTTGCTAAGCATATGGACTTTGGTAGATGACCTAAATTTGCTGATGCTCAGTTTTCTTATTTCTAAAATAAATTTAGTTTCTATTCTAGCCAATAACCTGTGCTGCCAGCCTTGTTGGAGTTTGGACATGGGTAGATGTGTCAGATGATGGATAGGATTTGCCCAAATGATATCCACTTATCTGGGGTTGAAGAGCCACATTGGAGGCAATTCATTCTTAGGGAAAAGCCAAGCATTGCACTGTGGAAGTTCAGTGCCCCCTTACTGAAATCTGTCTCCAGGACAGTCCATCTATGCATGTCTTAGTTCAAGGGAGAAAAAGATCTGGAATAACTGAAAGAACAACTCAATAAAGGACTCAGTGGAATAGTAAGTTGTAGACATCATTGCTTACGAGTCCTCTGACAGGTTTCACCACATTAAGGAGAGGGACATTGTTCCCCACTTGGTCACAGATTGACACCCTGCGCTGGCACTGTGAGGGTCCTCTACGGTGGTGCCAAGGCCTGCTGGCGTGGTGGCAGCACCCCGGGGGCCGGGGTTAGGACTGTGGAATATTAACACATTGTACCTGCCGGGGAGCAGAACCTGCCGGAGACCCTCATGCTCAGTGGGCGCATACCAGTGCCCAGTACAAATAGGTTTAATGGACACTATTCGACATGCCTAGTAACTTCTAGAAATATATGCTCACAGGAGCAACAGCAAGTGAAAGTGAAGTTACTCCTGTTGCTATGAACTTTGCAGATCTCTGTGAGGGGAAGTTGGGGTTAATGAAAATAGAAAATGGTCTTATAAAGTTGCTGGTACCCAGTAA